TTAATTAATTGTAGACTGTGAGGTCCAGACTTCGGAGGCAGCCAAGTAAGAACAGATGGACTATAAGAACAACTCTGACTCATTTTCTGTTACTCAAACACTTTTTCTATTTTCCTCCCCCTCTATTTTTTTTAGATTCCATGTTTATAGTTCTTCTAATTTATAGACTACTATAACACTACCTCAGATGCATTTAACCATGCCATGCATAATTTATTTATTCATTCCTCATAAATCAATCCCTCCAGCCATCTGGAAAACAAGAACCACATTTACTGTCTTTCAAGCTCCTTCTAACTAATCTGTTTAGTGTGTGCTATTGTGCCTGGAATAAAATGTAGTATTTTATGCATAGTTTCACCAAATACCAAGGACTTCGTGATTTTTTTTTTCTGTAGTTTTTTCTTAGGAAATCCCATGTGAAAACAGTAAATAAAGCAGGAACAATTAAAAAGCAAAGCAAGAAAATTATATCATTGCAGGGTGTCATAAGGGGACTGATTTTTGCCTGTGGCTGGTGGAAACCAGCCTCATTATTTTATGGTCATACCTTGTAAACCACAAGCAGTAATTCTCCTCCTATAAAACCTAGTGAGAAGTGGTGAAAAGACTACTCATATAAACACAAATTCTACAGTCATAGGCAATGTCAAAATCTTGTTCTTCCTCAGCTTTCTAGTCTATTAAATGGAAATAATGGAGACTCACTTGCCTCAATCATCTACTGAGAGCAACACAAACACACAAAAAGTACTTTGGTGATACAGTGCTATAAGAAACCGTTTTCTATTAGAAGCAACAATAATAACTAAGCTAAACCTCTCTGGTTTAGCCAGAAGCCTTAAGTAGAGGCTGAAGTTTATGGATACCCTAAATGATCACTTCACTAGAGCCAGTGACTGGTATAATTGACTCATTATGGTTATAACTACACATAAGAGGAAGTGATACACAAACATATTTCCCTTTACTAAAGTAGGCAAATATCAAACCATGAGTATCCTTCTTTTATGAACTTTAAATTCGGGGGCTATCTCCTACTGCTGCTTTCATGAGGTATATTCCCTGAGCATATTTCTTATTTTTCATCCTTTTTAACCCGTGGTTTTTGTATTGGTATATCCCAATTTGTGTCACCTCCTCAGAGAGGCCTTCTCTGACCTTCCTAATTAAAGTGTTATTCCCTATTTATTTTCTATTGTCATTCAGTTTATTTCCTTCCTACTACTTATCACAGAGTCCCTATGTTGTGCAAAGCATTAATGTGCTTGACAGCTGATGAAAGGTTGGAGGTTTCAGTCTACCCAGAGGCACCTCAGAAGAAAACCCTGGCTGTCTACTTCCAAAAAATCAGCCATTGAAAACCCTGTGGAGCACAGTTCTACTCTGACACCCATGGGATCACCATGAGTCAGAATCGACTCAGTAGCAACTTTTTTTTGTTTACTATTTATTGCAATGGGTGATTATCTAGGTAATGTATTTATTAACTCATTTACTGTCTTCTTCAACTAGATTCTAAATTCCAGGTCAGTTTGGATCATATCTATCTTAATTCCACCACTGTATCCCCAGTGCCTACAACAGTGACTTGTTCATAGCAGGTACTTGAAAGTAACAGTTGAATGAATGAGTGAAGGCACTATGTCCTCAAAATGAGCATAAGGTTAATTTAAACTCCTTAGCATGACATTCAAGGCTCCAACTTACCTATTTGGGCTTATATTCTGCCCTTTTATATCTCTGTATATTATGCCTGTTGATAGCTCCATAAAAGCTTTCTCTCTGCCTAGAACGCTCTTCCTTCTATCAAATAACTAATTTTTCAAGGCCTTGCTCAAACATACCTTTTCTGTGATACCTTTTCTAATCCTTCACAGACAAACACACATACACACAAAATTTTTCCTCTGCTAAGCTCTCATAGCCCTTATAACATGGGTTATGGTAGTAATAAAAAAAGATAGCTAAAATTTTAACTCTATGCCAGGTACAGTCAGTCATAAGCACTTTATATTTATTATGTCATTTAATCCTCACAACAACGCTAACAGGTAAGTACTATCATGAGTACTTAGGTGTGTTTTAAAAAAACTTGTTGCCATCGAGTCGATTCCGACTCACAGCAACCCTATAGAGTGGCTGGTGGATTCGAACTGCAGACCTTTTTGGTTAGCAGCTGAAGCTCTTAGCCACTGCACCACCAGGGCTGTGTATAGCTAGCTAGAAACAACCTCATGAAGGCAAGGATGGTGTCTTAAGTCTTGCTAATTCCTAGAACCTAGAAAAGTGTCTAAATATCATATACCCTTAACACAAATAATGAATTCTGGCAGTAGTTTCTTGCTCTCTGACTTTGAGAATGGCAATCCCAATCAATTAAAGAACCAGACAGTAGTTTTAAAGCAACTATACAAATTTAATCTTAAAGTGGTACCAAAACCCCCATTGCCATCGAGCCAATTCTGACTCATAGCGACCCTGTAGGACAGAGTAGAGCTGCCCCGTATGGTTTCCAAGGAGTGGCTGGTGGTAAAGTGGTACAGTCTTTTCTAAAGTACAGCATGAACTTAAGAGTCATAAAGAAAAAGGATTAATAATAATATATAAAGGGTTCCTATAAATAAATAAGAAAAGATAGTCAGCCTATTAGAAAAATAGAAAAAAACATGTAAACAGGAAACTTCCAGAAAAAGAAATTAAAATGGTCAATAAACATATGAAAATATACTTAGCCTCATTAATTTAAAAAAACAAAAATAAAACAACAACATGAATTTATTTATTTATTTTAACCTATTATATTGGTTAAGATGAAAAAGAAATAATAATATTCAGCACTGGCTAAGTTGCTGGGAAATAAGCACATGCTACAGAAACCTATGCTACAGAAATGCTCTCATATACTTAAAAGATATTATCTATATTTACATACATAGATAGATATAACCCAAAAACCCATTGCCGTCAAGTTGATTCTGACTCGCAGCAACCCTACAGAACAAAGTAGAACTGCCCCATAGGGTTTCCAAGGAGCACCTGGTGGATTCGAACTGCCGACCTTTTGGTTAGCAGCCACAGCTCTTAACCACTACGCCACCAGGGTTTCCTAGATATAGATATATATGGTTGTTCACTGTAGCAATGTTTGTATTAGAAAGAGACTGGAAACAAATGAAATGTGCATCAATAGAAGTTTGGTTAAATAAATTATGGTACAACTGTATCATGAAATTGTATGCAGCCACTGAAAAGAATGACATACCTAGGCAACCAAATAATAGATGAGGAGAATTTTCACTTTATAGATGTATTCCAACAAATAAAAAACCCATTTAGAAAAAGAGAAAAGGATTTGCACAGACATTTCATCCAAGAGAATATAAAGATGGCAAATAAGCCCATGAAATGATGTGCAACATCATTAGTCATTAGTTAAACCAGGATGAGATACCACATTACATCTATTAGAATGGCCGCTGAGTGAAAGAAGACAGTCTCAAAAAGTGACATACTATATGATTCCACATACAGGCAGTTTCCAACTTATGACTTAGTCAAGTTATGATGAACTGCACTTACGACTGTCCATTTTTTTGTACATCCTATCGTTAATCATATGTACTACATACAATGTTGCAGCACATAATTTGCTGGTGTTATCATTCTCAGATGTTTACTCGCAGTTATTCAATTTTATGATTTAGTGTTCAAAACACTGCTGTACAGATTTAGTTTTCTAAACTAAATCAGGGGCTTCAGTTGCTTGAAAACATAGACCCAAACGCTGATCACTTAGCTAAAGCTGATAGGCAGATTTGGGAAGAAGTGATATGTTACCACGAAATACATGAAGAACAAAAGAAAAGGACCATACAGACAACTCTCACTAATTTTCTGACTAGAAATGCCATCTGCATTCCCAGGGATACTCCAGATGATCCAGAACCTTCCACAAGTGGAGTCAGTACTGCAACTGACAAAATGCCAAAACTGTCCAACTCTTCTTCATCATCAGAGTAAATTTTTATGATTTGTGTATTTTTTATGCATGTATTAAAATATATCTCTAAGTTTATATGTAATGTTTCCAACCCCAAAGACAAAGATCAGATTTATAAAAATACTGATAATAAAAGGCAATAATAATTGTCATGGATTGAATTGTATCCCCCAAAAATATCTGTCAATTTGGCTAGGTCATGATTCTCAGTATTGTATGACTGTGTAACATTTTGCCATCTGATGTGATTTCCCTATGGGTTGTATATTCTATCACTATGATGTAATAGATGGATTAGTGGCAGTTATATTGATGAGATCTACAAGATTAGATAGTGTCTTAAGCCAATCTCCCTTGAGATATAAAGGAGAGAAGTGAGCAGAGACACATGGGAACCTCATACTACCAAGAAAGCAGTGCCGGGAGTAGAGCGTGTCCTTTGGACCTGAGGTTCCTGCGCAGAGAAGCTCTCAGACCAAGGGAAGATTGATGACACGGACCTTCCTCCAAAGCCGACAGAGAAAGCATTCCAGTGGAGCTGACACCTTGAATTTGGACTTGTAGCCTACTAGACTGTGAGAGAATAAATTTCTCTTCGTTAAAGCCATCCACTTGTGATATTTCTGTTATAGCAGCACTGGATGACTAAGACAATAATGAAAACTAAAAAATAAAATAAAATGAGGTGTTTGACTTATGTCAGAACCAACTTACAATGGAGTCGTCAGAACAGGACCCTGTCATAAGTTGGGGACTACCTGTATACGACATTCTTGAAAAGAAAAAAAAAAACTGTAGAAACAGAGTGGAGAGTGGAGTATGCCTGTAAAGGGGTAGCAAGAGGGAATCCTCTGGGGTGTTGGAATTGTTCTGTAACCTGTTAGTGGTGGTGGTTACAAGAATCTATGCATGTGTTAAAACTCATAGGACTGTATACCAGAAAAAAATTTTTACTACATGTAAATTTTAGATAAACTGTCATCAGTAATAATAATACTTTCTATTTCTCGGTCTAAGGGAGGAACATCATCTCTCATGGAGAAATCCATAGCTGTCCCTGGTATGTCCATCAAGTCTTCATCACTGGTGCTGCTCTGGAAGCTACTAAAACTTCCCTGCCGAAAGCCTCTGTTATCCATGGCTCCTATGCAGAAAGAAAAATATGAGACTTATTACAATGACCTCTAAGTCCCTTACCACTTATTTTTATGTCTTCTCTCATGCTCTTACTTTGACAATATAGACATACGAACTACTTAATATATTCAGTTACCATCTAGGTATAACGTACCTCTAGCCTTACCATGTAGTTAACAACAGTTTTTTTAAAACCATGCAAATGAGCGTAAAACCAAATGAGGGCATGTGTACACAAATCATGGAGTTCACAAGTAATCAATTAAAATAAAAAACAGGTATCGGTATTGAGAAATATTATGGCCATTTGGTAAAACAGAAGCATTATCTGATGCTTCTGACTCTCCCATAGCTCCTAATACAATGTAGATGCATGGAAATATTGGATGCTTGACACAAGGGAAAAAGAGGCATATTGTATCAATCAACGTTGTTCTCTGCTCAACAATTTAAAATTAAAGATAAAAAACTTTCCACATCTCAAGTTTAAGTCTTCAGATTCCAAGTTTTACTAAAAAAAAAAAAAATTCTTAGTATTCTGATTAAAAACAACAACAACACAGAATTATGGTCAACTTTACCTTATCTAGCCCTACCCCCCTCCAAAAAAATTTTTTTTAATGAACTCTTAGTCAAAGAGTCAGGGCCAGCAAAGATCTGTTAGATTAGGCAAATAATATTTTGAGGTATTCCAACTCTTTTTAAGAAACTTCTTACTCTAGGATATCAGAATTACATGTGATAAATCCACATTAAGTGACAGACCTGAAAAACTGGAATCACAGCAGATAAGTAAAATATTTTAAACACTGACTATAAAGGAAAAAGAACTAATATGTACCAGGTACTTCTCAATTTCCAGGCACTGGGCTATTTGCTTAGGGTGAATTCTTTCATTTAATTTTTACAACAGAATCTGAAGCTCTGAGAGGCTAAGTAACTTGCCCAAGACTACAGTTATTGTTAAAAAAAATTTAAGGTCCACATCATGTGCTCATTTGATAATACCTCACTTGTGATAGAGACCAGCCTGACTACAGTGTGAGTGACATTTATGAACTACCTATTATGCATGAATCATTGTGGGATGGAGGGGCAGATACAAACATGATGCTCAGAATAAGGGCCAGATGAGATGAAGACTGGGAGGTAAAGATTTGGGAGTTGTTAACATCAAGGTGAAAACCCTGGTGGCACAGTGGTTAAGTGCTACAGCTGCTAACCAAAAGGTCGGCAGTTCAAATACACCAGGCGCTCCTTGGAAACTCTATGGGGCAGTTCTGCTCTGTCCTATAGGGTAACTATGAGTCGGAATCGACTTGACGGCAACAGGTTTGGTTGGTTTTAACATCAAGGTGATGGCTGAAACCAAGAGAACAGATAATCCTCCAAGGGACACCTTTCTTTCTTTTAAGGATAAGAATGAATATAAACACAAGAAACGCATTTTCAATAGCCTTCTTGAGTATATACAAACAGCTTGAAATCCGTACAGATAAAAACTAAATACTAGGTTAAACAGGAGCATTATCATGTTTACATGATTACATATGGTCAGGCAGAGAAGGGGATGAATTTTCTCAAAGGTACTGTTAATGTACAAAATTACTGACCACAAAACTACGTCCTCAGCTTCAAAAACTCTAACCTTGCTGTGTGGATCAAATGGGTCCTTAAAAAATAAAAAATCCATTGCCGCTGGATCGATTCCGACTGATAGAGAATTTATAGGACAGAGTAGAACTGTCCTGTACGGTTTTTTAAAATGGTTCCTAGAATACTAATAATCCCTGGTTTGCAGCCTCAGCTGAGCTCCTTCGCTACTCACCAATCATTCATCCTGGCTGAGCTTCTTCCCCTTCTCTATCTGGCTTCCTTCACTCGCTTTCTGAGAGTCCTCCCTCAATAACGCACTTTTACAAAACTTCCTGTCTCAGCTTCTGCTTCTAGGGAACCTGACAAAAAACAGGATTGTTAGTAGTTTTTTCCTATTACTAACAATACATAGGGCATCTTGAAACTCACTGTCTTCCCTCCTGTTTTCCAAGAAGTGTCTTTATTTCTTAAGAAAAAAAATCACCCCTCCACTTTGCTCTAGGTCTTAGCTCCCACCTGACCAAGAAAACAGATCCTTCCTGGCCTTACACTGATTTACTTCGCTTTATACTTTAAGCAAATCTAGTATCTCTAGCTCTCATCTCTCCCTCAAGTTCCAGGACCGAATTCCCAACAACTCCACTTGACACTTCTGTTGCTACTTCAAACTCAACAGGGAAAATGAAAAAACAATGGAAATAACATTAACCTGAACACATATAATAAAATCCAAACAAGACATGCTCCCTGTCCCCACCCCTACATCAACTTTCCTTTTTAATAGTGGGAGATATCAGAGTTAATATTTACAGTTAATATTTGTCTAACATTTACTACATTCAACAAACCTATAAAAAGCAATCTCAAGAGTAGGCACTCCAGGTTTCTAGAAATCTTAGTTGAAAATAAGCACCATTTTAATAATGGGAAGAACTGAGGCTAATAGAGTACCACGACTCAAGAAGTTTTCTTTCAGTTTGAATTTATTAAGTGCCCATGAGTTCCTAGCACTCCATACAGTAAAACTAGCACTGAAAGCAAGACAATTTGTGAAGTAATACAGAATCCTTCCCTCTCTATTGGTTACTTGTTTCACAGGGTTCCAGCAACTCTACATTAGTCACACGTATGGGGAGTCCAAAAATAATTTATGTTTGGCTTTAGAATATGTCTTACAGTCATATTTTCAGATGAGTGTACCTATTGTTTTGGGAATTAATTAAAACAAAATAATGATGCTACAGGATGACAATACAACAAAGGGGAATCTGGAAAACTTCATTTTTCTGCATAGGGACCTTCCACACTCCTTCCTGTAACCCACTGACACAGAACAATCCAGCTAAATTGAGCTGCCTCATTTGAAACATTTCCTGGGGCAGCTATCTGGTTTACTGTTTAGGTTATAAAGGAGGCCTGGCAGTGCAGTGGTTAAGCGCTCAGCTGCTAACCAAAAGGTTGATGGTTCGAACCCACCAGCCGCTCCACAGGAGAAAGATGTGGCAGTCTCCTTCCGTAAAGATTTACACCCTTGGCAACCCTATAGAGTTGCTATGAATGGGAATCGACTCAGTGACAGTAGGTTTTGGGTTATAAAGTGCTTCCTTAATACATGCATAGAAAGAGTCAACAAAAGAGAATTAGAAGAAGCAAGTAAATCAAGCAAAACAGATGCTATAAATAGGAGTTCAACAAAGGAAATAAATAAAATCAGTAAAACTGAAAGTGACATATGTCCACAAATCATTCTGATACAGTTTTATTTTGCAAATATAAAAATGTTCAAGGAAAAAAAATAAAGCAGCAGAATATAAGGAAACAAAAGTTCCTGAAAGTTGATATTTGAACCCATATCTAGGTGAACTTCAAATCCCAGTGCTCTTTCCATAACACTTTGGGGCTTCACTATGACATGTCAGTCCAGAGAATGGCACATCTGGAATAAATCAAACTTCTAGATGGCCACAAGCCTGAAGTCAGCCAGAAGCAGGCCACGAACAAAGTAAGGGGATTTGATTCATTTTCCCAACTACTGTTGTTAGTTGACATCAAGCCGATTCCCACTTATGGCAACCCCATGTGTGCAGAGTAGAACTGCTCCATAGGGATTTCAGGTCTGTCATCCAAGGCACCTCTGGGTGGGTTCAAACATAAGACTTGTCTTGCAATAGAGGGTTAGGGAGGAGGGCAATCAGATGAAATGTTTTTTGGTTGACATATGTGTTACAGAGATGATACATTCCTTTTGTCACTTCTCTGCTTAAAATCACGGGCTCATTCTCCACTGCCTACAGGGTCATGTCTCAGCTTCTGTGCATGGCATTCAGGGTCCTTTGAAATATGGATCCCATCTACCCAGACAGACTTTATCTCCTGTCACAAATCTGTAATACCCCCTGTCTTAGTTACCTCTTGCTGCTTTAACAGAAATATCACAAGTGGATGGCTTTAACAAAGAGAAACTTATTCTCTCATATTCTAGGAGGCTAGAAGTCTGAATTCAGGGTGCTAGCTCCAGGGGAAGGCTTTCTCTCTCTGTCGGCTCTGGGAGAAAGTCCTCGTCATCAATCTTCCCCTGGTCTAGGAGCTTCTAAGCACAGGGACCCTGGGTCCAAAGAATGTGCTCTGCTCCTGGCACTACTTTCTTGGTGGTATGAGGTCCCCATGTCTCTCTGCTTGCTTCTCTTTTTATATTTCAAAAGAGACTGACTTAAGACACAGTCTAATCTTGTAGATTGAGTCCTGCCTCATTAACATAACTGCTGATAATTCCACCTCATTAACATCATAGAGGTAGGATTTACAACACACAGGAAAATCACATCAGATGACAAAATGGTGGATAATCACACAATACTGGGAATCATGGCCTAGCCAAACTGATACACATTTTGGGTGGACACAATTCAATTCATAACACCCCCTATAGGTCATGTACTTTTATACCTCCATGCCTTTGCTCAGGCCAGCTGCTCTATCTGGAGTCCCTCCTGAGCACCCTACTCCCCTCAATCCTCTTTTCAGCATGGTGAAATCCCCATTCAATCCATCAATCCATCTAGGACCAGCTCAAAAGGATTTTTCTTCAATACTCCTTTTGTTCAGACATCCATGCTGATTACATAATCTCTTCCACATGAGTCTTGTGACTACACCATGTCCTTCTCATCTCTGTTCTTTCAGAAATTCCAGTGTCATTTCAGAGCAGGTGTTCAATTAATGTTTACTGAAGAGAATTCCAGTTGGGAAGGAAGGTTAACAGCTGATCAACATATTTTTATGCGAATAATGCACACCTTCTACATTTGTTTACCAACTGCAACCTCCCTCTGTGAGATATTTTCATAAGCATGCTATGCTAATTTTTTGTATGGGAACATGTAAAAAAAATTGGTGTAGTGGCCCTTACTA